TCGCCGGCCGCGACCTTGGTCTTGTCCTTGGTCTTCGGTCTCGGTTCGCTCGGCGGGGTCGGAAGGTCATCGGGTGACGGTTTCGGGGGGAGGAACTGGGACGAGGACATCTGATCGCCGCGGCGGCTGTCTGAGCGTGCTTCCTTCCGGCTGGAGAGCTTCAACTTGGGCAAGGAGCGCAATAGTTTGTTCTCGGAGAGTGTGCGCCTGTGCTTTCCCTTCTCCATCGTCGGCCCATCCAAGTCCCCAGCTGGACTTTGGAAGTCGTTGGCTGAGCTCAAGCGACTTAGTCGTGCTGCGCCGTCGAGGTTGCGGTAGGGTGCCTTCTTGCCTCCGTCGTCGCTATCGCCGGAGTCGACTTCTTGCATCGTGCCCAGGTCCGTCTGCGACTGCTGACCCGCGCGGGTTATCATGGAGAAGAGCGACTGGTTCATCGACATGGTGTTGTTCCGCTTCGGCGCCGTGACATCCTCCTGTGCATCGTCCCCATCTCGGAAGCGCTCCGGTACGTCCATAGACACACCGCGCGTTTCTCTTCTTGAGTCTTTTCGCTTTCTGCTCATTCGGCGACTCGTACTGTCCTGGCTTCTGTCTTGGGACGCCATCTCGGGATGGGGCGTCGTGCGCCTGCACTCAACAGTTATTGGATCGTCAAGGTTGCTCGCGGATGTGCTGGCGGGTGTACCACGGTTGGTCAAGGCAGCGATGTGGACTCAGAAGTGTATTGCGGATTGCTATCTGAAAAGGTATCGCACGCTGCAGGGCAGTTGGGAAGATCGTTAAAGGTCACATATTGGAGCGTTGAGGGAATGACTTGTAGCTGTCTCGTGGCTGAGGAGCGTGCTGCATGCGTCCGGGGTACCTACTAGCGCGATACGATAAGGTTACCCACGCACACCTCCAGGCAACGACCGCGACCGGTAACTGTGGAGTGTGGCAGGCAGTGTATTAATCTGTATATTTCACTCGAATCCGTTATCATCCCACATGCTTCTAGGTTGCAAGCTGCAAGCCCCCAGATCCGATGGAGCAGTCTACAGACGTCATTGGTCAGACTTATCGATAGGTGCACGTGTAAACGCCAGCCCAAGGCGCTGCCGTCCGCTAACGTGGACTATAATAGTCCACGCGATGACAGCCAGGTACTCCAACGGAGGCGCAGACAAGCGGATGCGGATGGATATCACGATCATAAGCCCACGCCTGCGGTTCGTTGGTTCCTGGATCTGGCAAAAAGAAAGGTACCTTCCACGATGCCTACATTTCAAAACCAGGGCAAAAAGAAGGCAAAAACATACAACAGCGGGGATTCGCTAGTGGTCACCCACCTAACTACTAATCCGCCGGTATCATGCTTGTATATGGCTGAGCGGACGGGAAGCCTAATTTTCATGATCCTATGGTCGTATGTGGAAGAAAGGGTTGTTGTGGAAATATATATTGCCGGTGATGACTATGGAAAGACTAGTGCCCTCAGCTACCCACACGCTGTCGTAGCAGTATATGTTGACGTCTCGAAGTGGCAACAACAAGCAGAGACATACATACATAGATCAAAACATCACATGCAAACAACACAGTCATTCTTTATCCTTCCCATTGGCTGATGTACTCTTGTACAACCGAATACCCAAGTCATTAAACCTAACTACAATTTGATCCAAACGCCGTTATCATTTCCATGACGTTCTAGAGTTGTATGATATCCGTAATGGGGCGACATGGGGAGCAGAACCTTACTTGGACTTAGCAAGACCGACAGCCGAGTTACCAAGGTCGTATACGGAGTACCACTTCCTGAGGAAAGCGTCACCGAGAATAGCAAGAGGTCCTACTGGCTCGGGGAAGTCCATGCCCATGAAGGCAGAGATGCAGGATCCCTGGACCTCGAGGATGTAGTCGAACGCGCTGATGGTGAAGTTGTGGCCGGTGAGAGTGAAGGTGAGGTCGGGCAGACTGTCACGCTTGTCGCACTCAACGGAGTACTGGCCGTTGAAGCCCTTCTTTGCACCGATCTCCTTGTTCAGGAGCTCGGCGATGGTGGAGGGAAGAGCGATCAGAGATGTACCGGTGTCAAGAATGACACCAGTGTTGTCCATCTCAGCAGTCTCCTTGCCGAAGGTGATGGCATCGAGGTCGACCTCCCAGTAGGCCTTGCGCCTGAGGGGAAGCTTGACCATCTTGCCGGTGTAGTGGCTCTCATCGATGCCACCGAAGGTAGCCTCAGACTCCTGGCCCTCGTTGGTGTCGCCGAGGTAGAAGGCGAAGACGGGCTCGTCCAAGAGACCCTGGTCGAGCATGTTGTAGAAGGGAGGGACTATGCCCTTGACACTGATAGTGTCGTAGCCAAGACCCATGATGCCGTCGAACCTGCCGAAGGCGAAAGCGAGACCAGGCTCAGAGGTGGCCTCGGCGAAGTCCTGGTGCTTGACCTTGAGGTCGCCGATCTGGAAGACATCCTGCGAGACGAAGCCGCTGAGCGAGCCGGATCCGTAGCGGATCTCGAACTCGGTTCCGTTCTTCTTGTAGGTCGACGACGCCGAAGAGTCGTACTTGGTGTGAAGGTAGCAGGCAATCGAGTTGCAGCTCTGCGATGGGACCCAGAGGTTGGAGCTTCCCGTGTCGAGGACAACCTTGAAGGTCTGGGGAGGAGTTCCGAGAGAGATCTCAGAGAAGTCTGGCGCCTGTTAGCTTTCGCCACACGTTGCTGCGCAGCGCGCGGAGCTTCGGAGACGTACATTGCGCGTTCAGGAAGTTGCTGACGGGCACGGGGTGGGTGCCATCGGCGATGTAGGGCGCCTTGAGCGCAGCCTCCATGTGCGACTGGGCCTTGAGGCCGGTCATGTGCTGCTGGGAGTACTTCTGCTTGAGGCCAGCCATTTGGGTCTCGATGTTGGCAAACTCCTGTTCATGGTTAGACTGCGATCTTGCGCGTCCGAATGCGACGATGGCTTACCAGCTGGTCAGACAGAGAGACCTTCTTGAGCGGCGTCTTGTAGACAGCCGCAGAGGCCGAAGTGGCTGCTGCGAGGAGCACCGCCGTCTTCATGATTGCGGACCTTTGATGGAGACGGATGGGATATGGAAGAAGAATGGATGGATGGGAGATGGGATGGCGGGTGGAGAGGGAGAGATGAGGGAGTGAGTGGTGTGTTGGGGACGGAGCTCAAGCTGGAGCTATCTATGGGGCTGGGGAAGGCGCGGCGGGCGAATGACGAATGTGACCAGTGCTGCCTGGCCGACAGTGCGACTAGCGTGACACGTTCCCTGTTCGAGGATTGTACCTGCGCATCCGCCATGCCCCAGACAACCAGAACCGAGGTCTGCATAGTGCTATGCCAGCCACTTTTAACCATGGAACTTGGTTGATTAGCTGTCGCACATTTGAGCGACATATCTCACGTGTCTCGTTGCATGCGCAAATCAGGATACGGTGGGCTTCGAGCGCGAAAGCTACCCCGTGATCACGCGCGTCAAGCTTCCATGACCTCAGCACTCGGGCTAGCAAGCCATCGCTCAGGTCCTCAGATGGTCCCAAACACAAATGCTGTGCTGTCTTCCAACGCGGTGTATTCCGATCGACTAGATAACACTATCATACAGCGGTGTCTGGCTCGTCCGTATACTGCGGCGCCTGAGCCAGGTTCGCCTCCTGCTCCCTCCGCGCTCTCTCCAGGTCCGCGGCCCACAACGCCGAGCTTGCTGGTGCCGTCATGAGGAAGAACATGCTAAGCGGCGGTACATACTGCAGCATGAGATAGACTGTGCCGTACCTGCAATTTGTTAGTCGTGCCACGATGCTCATACGCATAAGACGTACCAAGTGTACTGCCACCTCCTCTTCTTGATGGCAAGATTCCTCTGTTTCTTGTCATAGCCCAAAAGCTGAAAGTATCGCCAATGCTGGAACGGGCCCGCGCGATAGCCCGTCAGCAAAAGAAATATCGGCACCCCGACGTATGGTATAAAGTTCACAGGCAGCAGGATGACGAACTCGGCGATCTGACGGAAGGAGAACGGCGCGTAGACAGAAGAACGTGTAGGCTTGCCGAGTCGGCGGACGGGGTCATTCAGCGCATCTTCAGTGACGGGTCGGTGCTTGCGAACGAGGTCTTCGTAGCCTTTGTAGATGAGGACGGCGTCGAACACATCGACTTGCGACTCGTCCTAGACAGTGTCAGTACCTGAGTATAGCGTGCAGTTGGGTATACGTACCACTAGGAAAGACTCGAATAGTAATGCGACGATCGCAGCTCCCTCTCCCAAGACGAGAAACACGGCGTTGACCCATGCACTACCCGCCGTGTGGAATATCTTGAGGAAGAGTACTTGGGGCAGCAACGTCCATACAAAGAGGTTTATGAGGACGAAGAGGCTGAGAAGTACTGCCGGTAGTAGTCGCGCTTTGAGTAGAGGGTATAGGAACGGGTGCGCGAGGAAGAAGACGATACCCTGTTGCCTATTAGCACATGCGCGACAACAGCAGAACGAGTACAAATACCTTGACAAGATACGTTGACGCTACAACATTATCCACCGTTGGTCGCACCACTACTCTCGGTATATTCCCCAAAGCCGCATGCACTCCTTGCTGTGACATCGTGGTGGTTCTCGTGGTGATGCTGAAGTTTGCGTGAAACAGAGACGCGAAGGCAGCTGCGTAACAAAGACCTCGGGAGTGACGTAGCTACTAGGACCCTGAGCGGTCCCACAATCCCCCCACGTTGCACCATCCGCCTTGCCCAACTTGAGCGTTTCCCGTCGGAGGGGACGCGCATGGCATTCGTGGTGGCTTGCAGTGATGCACCGTAGTCTGTATGCGTGAACGATGTAGACGCCTCACACGCCCTGCGAACGATCTATGGGTCTTGCGATGTATATAGGACTTGGATCTCCCAAAGTAGAAACCGAGCATCAGCCTTCCAACCGACCCCATTACAGATGAACAATTGAACCCCAAATCCATCAACACACATGCCCCACCCAACCCACCATCCACCATGTTCCACAACCCCACCGCCTCAACCTACCAACACCCCATCCCCTCCACCAACCCCTCCGTCGAGCCCTTCCACCGCACCCTCCCCGACTACGCCATCACCCCTCTAATCCCCTTACCAGACCTCGCGCAAGAACTCAATCTAGGCCACATCCTCCTAAAAGACGAATCCAGCCGTCTCGGCCTCCCCGCCTTCAAAATCCTCGGCGCATCATGGGCCATCCAACTCGCCCTAACCAAAAAATGCTCCCTACCCATCACAGCCACACTGCATGAACTGGGTGCAGCGGCACGGAAAGAAGGGGTGGAATTGGTGACGTGTACGGAAGGGAATTGGGGCAGGGCTGTAGCGCGGATGGCGCAGTATCTAGGTGTGAAAGCCGTGATTTTCGTGCCTGATTTCATGGATGAGGCGACGGCGGGGAAGATTAGGAGTGAGGGCGCGACGGTGGTGGTTGTGGATGGGGATTACGATTTCTCGATTGAGAAAGCGAGGGAGGAGGCGGAGAAAGCTGGAGGGGGGATGTTGGTTATGGATGTGAGTTGGGAGGGGTATGAGGAGATTCCTGAGGTAATGTCTATCCCTATGCCACAGTTCATGTCTCGACTTATCTATACAACTGTGGGAACTAACATGTAATAGTATGTAGTACAAGGCTACATAACCATGCTCACAGAAACCGATACCCAACTCAAAGACATGGATATGAAACCCGTAACCCACGCCATCGCCGCCGTAGGCGTAGGCTCCTGGGCCCAAGCCGTAACCAGCCGCTACAAGTCCTCGTCGCTCCCTCAAACCGCCACTGTCATTACCGTCGAACCAGATACAGCAGCCAGCCTCCTTACAAGTCTGGAGAAAGGCAAGATCACACCCATCTCCACCGGCCATACAATCTGCAACGGCATGAACTGCGGGACGACGAGCACGACGGCGTGGGAGGTGTTGAGGAAGGGGGTTGATGTAAGTGTTACGGTAAGAGATATTGATGTTCATAATGACTTGGTGGAATTGCATAAGAGGGGAGTGAACAACGGGCCGTGTGGAGCTGCGACGATGACGGCGTTGAAGAGGGTGTGTGAGGACAGAAGGATGAAAGAAACGTTGGGGTTGGACGAGACGTCAGTAGTTGTTTTGTTTAGTACGGAGGGGGCCAGAGACTACATCATCCCATCTGGTGCTTAAACTCAAATCCCATCCCGAGGTCTCATGAAGATAATATCATATACCCTACCAGACTGATTCCCTCAACCAAGCGTCTTAGTCTTCTCCTTCTTCTCCTTCTGCCTCTCCATAACATTCAACACATCATCCGCATTATTCTTATCCCCCTTCCTCTTCTTGCCACCCCGCTTCCTCACCTTCTTCGGCCCTTTACCCCCTTCCTCGCCTTCCTCATCGTCGCCTTCAGCACCCAATCCCTTCCACTGACTGAACTTGACTTTCTCGCCTTCCCGCTCCATCTCCTCCGCGTCGTCAAATCGCGACGCTCCGAAACCCATGTCCATGTCTTCCATATCGCGATCGGAAGCTGCCAACTCCGCAGCACGTTTCTGGAGTCGCGCTTCTTTCGATGCGGGGTCGTTGGGGTCGGTGGAACCGAGGTTTTGGAGGAGTGTGGAGTTTTCGTCCAGGTTGCGGACTTTGGCGAGGGCGGCGCGGACGGTGGCGTCGGCGGCGGAGAGGTCGGAGGGTTCGGCTGTGGAGGTTGAGCGGGCTGTGGATGCGAAGTAGTCTCGTTTGGCGGGCGCGGCGGGCGCGTTGTCTTTGGGTTTCGCTGGAACGTCTTCTTCTGCTTCTGAAGATACCTCCCCTTCTGATTGTGAACCCGCGGCATCGAGCTTAGGTGCAGTAGGCTCTGGCTTCGCTGTCTCTTCGTCCGATTCGTCATCTGAGTCGTCGAAGTTTGCGAGCGGGTTGTAGTTCGACCCAACTCCTGCGAATATATCCTCGTCCTCTGACTCTTCCTTCTTCGGCTCAGGGAGGTTGTGCATGTTGATCGGCTTATTCACATCGTCCAGATCGTGACGTACTTCGGGCGCCGGCTCCTCGACCTTCTGCTTCTTAACCTTTCTCTTTTCCTTGCCATCCGGACCGGTGATGATCAGCACCTCACGGCCCTTCTCGTCTGTCTCGATGCGTGTGTCTCCCTGGGCGTTGATCTTGCGGAAGCCTGGCCCCAGGGTTGGAAACCTCTTCTCGTGCTCTGCCGCTGCGGCTGCTGCTGCCTCTTCCCGTTGTCTCTTGAGATCCTTCAGGATGTCATTGCGACTCCTCTTGACGCCAGCGACAGGACGCGGCCCAGTCATCTTCTCGCCTTTCTTCTCAGTCTTCTCGCGTGTAATGGGGCCGACATTCGCCTCTGCCAGCTCGTCGAACGCGTCTTCGACCTCTGGTACCTCTTCAGCCTCCTCCTCCTCTTTTTCTTCTTCTTCTTCTTCTTTCTTGTCTAGGCCACCCAGAACATCCTCGCCCCGCCTCACTCTCTCGAGCAGCTTCCTGTCCAAGCCCTTCACTAAATGCGTGGTCCCAACATCACCACCCGTAATCTCTTGCACCAGCTTCTCGAACGTCTCGCGATCGATCTCGCCCTTCTTCATAGACTCCTCGAGGTTCTTGACGCGTTTGGCGATCTCATTGTCTTCCTCGTCGGTGTAAGCCTTCGTGCGGTCGGTGTAGCCTGCGGCGAGCCTCGTTCCTTTGGGCACTATGTTCCTGGCCTTCTTCTGCGGGTTGTTCTTCGCGTTGCGCTCGGCGAGTTGGCGCGCAAAATCCGATTGTATTGAACCCTTGCCTACCTGACGACTGCGTATCTGTTAGTATCAGTCCTGCGCGAGACACTCTTGGGAAAACTTACGGTGTCATTGGTATGCTCGAGTGCTTGCGCGCGCCCAGCACCGCCCTCGGCGTAGCAGCGGCAGGTGACTTGCCCTTGCCGTCATCCTGTGGTTTCGGTGTTTCGACTAGCAGCCGCCGGAATTGCGAGTTGTTCATGGTGCGCGAGTTGAGAGGTTGGTGGAAAGTCGTGATTCGCAAAAGATGTGCCAAGCCTCTGCAGGCGTCTTCGGGCCTGCACCACGCGAGGCTACGCTAAAGAAGCGTGGCTGGTCTAACGCGGGGAACCTTGAGCGCTCAACACAACTCCAGCCTCGTCTACTACCGGATTCTATTGCGTCAGCACGATCACGATGGCAAATGTATGGACTTCTTGAGGCACGGACGATGCCTTAATTTGCGCAGTCTTCGGTACCCTGCCGCTTTGGCTCTAGCTGGCTCCAGGGCTGTCTGTAAGGTTGCAGCGCGATCTTGCTTATGCAGGATCACAAGACTACTGTAGGGAAATGCTACCTGTTTCCCTGTACGAGAGTTACGCTATGCCGCCACAGTAAAACGATCGTGCATAGCCCGAAAGGTTCTGTATCTTCCCCATTTCACTTGCTAGGCACCCTGCGATCCCCACCACCCCGCTTCCTCTCCGCATAAGTACTTGAACAGCCGGGTAAATTGTTGAACTCACCTCCCACGCCTCCCTTTCCTCGGTATCTGTGAAATTGTAACGGCAGTATGTTCAAGCTTCTGATTGCAGCTGCTCTTGCTGCAGTGGGCGCGTCCCAGTACGCCATGCCTAACGCGACCAATTCGACTACATTCATGAACCCGATCGTGGGCGCTGGAGCAGACCCGTAAGTCAATCCATCCAAATTATGTTACCATCCGTCTGAACATCATCCAGCTGGATGTTCCGCCACGAGGACTACTACTACATGACCTACACCAACAACGTCAACATCACCCTCTGGCGCAGCAAGTCCCTGACCTCCTGGGACGCCGCAGAGTCCAAGACCATCTTCGTCCCCGAGCCCGATCAGGCCTACTCCACCGACCTCTGGGCGCCCGAGATCCACCAAATCGACGGAAGCTGGTGGGTAATCTTCACCGCAGACCCCAACTTCGACTCCCCACCACCCGAGGTGGAGATGTGGTGCGAGTACAACTGCCCCGCCGTCAATCACCGCATGTTCACCGTCGTCGGCGAAGGCGAAGACCCCTGGACCGCCGAGTACCGCTACCACAGCGAACTCGAGACGTACGATCAATTCGCCATCGACGGAACCTACTTCCAGCACGCCGACCAGTTGTACCACATCTACTCGTGCTGGTACCACAAGTACGACGACTGGCCAGCCAACCTCTGCATTACCAAGATGTCCGACCCTTCCACCACCATCTCCCCTTTCTCCGAGCGCCAAATCATCTCCGTACCAGAATACGCCTGGGAAAAGACACCCTTCGGCCGCTCCATCAACGACCGCCTCTCCTCCAACGAAGGCCCCCAACAACTCACCAACCCCACCACCGGCCAAAACTTCCTCATCTACAGCGCCGCCCGCTCAGACAACCGCAACTACTGTCTCGGTCAGCTCGAGCTCGTTGGCGACGACCCCATGAACCCTAGCGACTGGCGCAAGCATCCTTACCCCGTTTTCTACCAAAACCCTAGCGAGAAGGCGTATGGTGTTGGTCATGCGTCTTTTACGACGTCGCCTGATGGATCCGAGGACTGGATCGTTTACCATGGTATGCAGGATCCGACGAATGGGTGGAGTGCGAGGTCGATTCGCGCGCAGAGGTTTGGCTGGAATGAGGATGGGAGCCCGGACTTTCCTAAGCCGGGATATGGGCCGTATCAGGTTCCTAGTGGGCAGTAGAGAGGTGTTTGAAGTGGTGTCTTGGTCTGTGGGATGATGGCGGGGTTGTGTACCTGCTCTTGCTCTGCGGTTGGTTTGCTTGTATCTTCCGAACGGCGGCGACCGGCTGTGTTGGAAGGGTTGTGAAGACAGCTGCTTCTGCCCTGTCTTTTGCATACAGGCCTTGGATAATACCTGGGTATCTGGACCACCCCGGATATATTACTAGCTTAATGATAACGATCATGACAAACTTGACAGACCCACGTTGAGACCCCATCTTTTGTGCGATACCCTCCGTCGTGGAGATGATGATAATAATAGATGCTGATTTTTGTGCCGATTCCAGCGATTCCTCTATCCCATGTGTGACTTGATGGCATACCGTAGACATGCGTGCCTTGCGTACACGTTCGGCGAGCGCGGCTTCCACCAAGCATGCCCACCACCCGGAAGTTTTGCGCAACCCACCACATTGCTCGGAAAGATGCGAAAACTACGTGTCTTGACCTTTCTAGATTTTTGAAGCATATCAAGACGCTCCGAAATGATTTTATGGTATCCGAATTTGGTTGGTGGTACTTATGTACTAAGATATGTAGGAAGTCTTGCTGTCAGTTTTTGGTATTTAGAACTCAACAGGTAACATCTTCAAAAAATCCCAACACCACCACATCATGCTGAAATCACCTCAAACTTCGCGTATCAACTGGTACGACACATAAAAGTACTTCACTAAGTTTTGAGAATATCTGAGCATCATTGTGGAAGTCTACGCGTTGGAGGTCTGCGGAAGCGTCTTGCGGAAGCAGCCAAACTACGCGTATATTCACAACCACACAACGCGCTTTAGATACACAGCGCGATATGAATGCAGGTATACAGTTCACGCGCATATCATGAGTTCAAAATGCTACATATCCTTCACATACCCAAGGTCGCGTTGTACGGCCGTTGGATGCAGAAAGACGTGACGTCATACGTCCAACATCCAAACTTCACAGCCGTCTTCCCGCAGGTGGCAATAAGCGCAAGCTATGAGTCATGCTACGACCGGTCAGACGGCACAGTCAATGAGTCACGGAACGTCTTTTCCATCTCGAACGCGAACGAGATGAAAGTCGGTCTGGCAAACTGTACATGGCACTAGTTCACACGCACACTAGCAAGACAAAAGGCGGAACAGCACACCGCGGAAGTGGAGCATATCAGCAATGACCACCGCGTTCACACAAAGTTCGCAGACGCGTCTCACATCACAGCAGAAGACAAGTAGATGAAGTTATTATGGTATCATTCCATGCAAATCAGAACCCGACTGATATAACCGTGAACTCCGAGCCTTCTTATACTATACAAGGCCATGACCATCCCACCAAGCACCGAAGAGGCGACCGTAGACTGCTGAAGAAGCCAGCCGGACAAAAGTCGTAACATTGAAAACCGTAAGAGCGAGAAGAAGACGACGCGCTTAACCACCGAAACCGTACAGAGTGCGGCCTTGACGCTTGAGAGCGTAGACAACGTCGAGGGAGGTGACGGTCTTGCGCTTGGCGTGCTCGGTGTATGTGACGGCGTCACGGATGACACCCTCGAGGAAGGTCTTGAGAACACCGCGGGTCTCCTCGTAGATCACTGGGGTGGGTTAGCGAGGTAGGCGAGGAAGGTGTGGAGGAGACATACTGGCTGAGATACGCTTGACACCGCCACGACGTGCGAGACGACGGATAGCGGGCTTGGTGATACCCTGGATGTTGTCGCGGAGAATCTTGCGGTGGCGCTTGGCACCACCCTTTCCGAGACCCTTGCCACCTTTGCCGCCTGGGAGACGCGTTAGTGAAGTGTTGATGGTGAAGGACGACGCGTTGAGCGCGCCGAAGTGTGGAGGTGGGAATACTCACGACCAGTCATGATGATAGATGTGGGGGGGTTGTTGTGTTGGGGAGAGGGTGTTGTTGGTTGTAGAGTGAGAGAGTGGTAGTAGTGGATTGGATGCTTTGGTGATGATGGGAATTAGTTGGGGCGGCGGGCGTCGTGTTTATGAGGCAGCGGGGCGCGTCGTCTTGCGCGCCGGATCACACGCCAGCCACGCCAGATCAAAGCCGCGCACGGGCGCGCTTTCCAGATCAACGCCCGTGCCCCTTCCCAATTGGGGCGCGCAGCAAGCGAGCCAATGGGCAATGCGCGCCGCGGTGTGGACTTGGTGGTTTTGAAGTTGCAGCGCGCGCAGGTTAGCATGCTTAGCATGGCTTTGGTGTTCCTGGTGCGCGCTGTGAGGGAGCGCAACAAAGATTGATTTTCCAGGCAGCCGCCCGCCCCCCATTTACCATATAAGCTGCGCCCGCCCACCCTCCTCCATCTCTCATCCACTCAACTCCACTCACCATCACAACAACCATCTACCACATCCACATCTCCATCTCCATTCCACTACAACAACATGGCCCGCACTAAGCAGACCGCCCGCAAGTAAGCTTCAGCCTCATCGACTCTTCAATAACTATCATACTAACAATCTCTCAGGTCCACTGGTGGCAAAGCCCCCCGCAAGCAGTTAGTCTAGCCTCAGCTCTACTTCGCACCTCATCGCAGCATACTAACTTTACTTCAAGGCTCGCTTCCAAGGCAGCTCGCAAGTCCGCACCAGTTAGTACTCCCCTTGCCTCATCATGCGATGCATCTCTAACATGCTCCAGTCAACCGGTGGTGTCAAGAAGCCTCACCGCTACAAGCCCGGAACCGTCGCTCTCCGTGAGATCCGTCGCTACCAGAAGTCGACTGAGCTCCTCATCCGCAAGCTGCCCTTCCAGCGTCTTGTCCGTGAGATCGCTCAGGACTTCAAGTCGGATCTCCGCTTCCAGTCCTCTGCCATCGGCGCTCTCCAGGAGTCCGTTGAGGCCTACCTCGTCTCGCTCTTCGAGGACACCAACCTCTGCGCCATCCACGCCAAGCGTGTCACCATCCAGAGCAAGGACATCCAGCTCGCCCGCCGCCTCCGTGGTGAGCGTGGTTAAGCTTCTCACCTTCGATATATCGACACGACTATGACAACTTCTTCGGGTCGGTGATGGATTGGGTCTTTGGGTCGGATATTTAGGCGTTTGGGTTCATGGTTCACGGTCTTCAACTCGGTTTATGAGTGCACACGAGCGGTGCTGAGCATGTAGTATATCCAGGTTAATCAGTGATGGTCACTGGCGATATTCCACGAAATCAACAGATTTCTACTTCATTCTATCTTCATCTTTGATTGTGATGTTTGCTTGACATTTGCTTGCCACTTCTTCCTGATCACTTACTAATAGTCTTTGGTGTTGATCCTATTGCGCTACCTCGACTGGTCGCGATGCGGCACTCACCCCGCAACATGACGCCCATCGCAGCTACTAACTCGCCCATCATGACCAGCACCTCGGCGAACGGTACACTAACAGCTGAGCCTACTACGATGTCTTCCCATGAAGGCTGCGCGATTGCGCGTCTTCATCCAACACATACCTCTTCACGATGACCTGGCAAACCGAATTCTGGTCATGGATGTCGCCGCCCACAGTGCAGACCGCTGAAGTCCCAGCCGTCGGCCAAAAGGCGCCCTCCACGCCCAAACTCACCATACCAGCACAAGATGGCAGGCCAATAATCATCAGCTTCCTCCGGCACTGCGGATGTCCTTGTACGTACTTTACTCAACACCATTATGATGCGACCTTACTGATATATTTGCAGTCGCAGAAAAGACCTTCCTAAACATGCGCGCCCTCGCGCCCGCTCACCCAGACATACATTTCATAGCCGTTTCGCACAGCGACCAGGCGGCTACGGACCGCTGGCTTGCATCGTTGCCTGAACCGGAAGAGAACTCCCAACCTAACCTCAGCATCATCATTGATGCAGAACGCGAAGCATATGCCGCGTGGGGTCTAGGTACGTCCAGTCTGTGGCATGTGCTAGGCAGTATACCTGGTACGAGCAAGTTGAGCAAAGAGGGCATTAGCGTGAGGCCGACTGAGAGTGGGAGTCGGTGGCAGACGGCGGGCAATTTTGGGGTTGATGCGCAGGGGATTGTGAGATGGAGTCGGGTTGATGGGAGGGCGGATGATATGCCTGATTTTAAGGAGGGGGTGGATAAGGTGCGCGGGGGGAGGTTTGAGACGGGAGGTTTTGCTGAGGCTATGCAGGGTTGATAGGGGGTGTGGTTGTTATGATACGCATGTGTAGTTTGTATGTGATGGTTGTAGTTGGTATCGCGGTTGTGCGGTTGTCGCGTTTTGCGTTGTGAAGACGCGGGTTATGTGGCGCATGTGAGGTGCGAGATAACTGTAAAGCACAACGCGTTCTTGGATCCTTCTCGCGACTGTGTGAAGAGTGCACGCTCTATGATTATGATAACACACCCGTCTCCTTCTCGTAACACATATTTCTAAAATTCTTGACTATGGTGATCAAAGACAACCCCTCGATTGGCCCGCCCACCGATGACCTCACGATAACACGCGAAAACGCGCCAACAGTCGAAGCGCGTCAAAGTGTCGCCACGCACACAACAGACCCGCCGCGGCCAGATCATGGCATCATGGCTGCACCGTCCACACGGCTGACGACTCGCGCGAGCGAGTATGGCTCAGATATCGACATCCAGTCCATCGCGACGCTGAGCGACTACGGCTCGGACATTGACATTGACGACGACACCATACTCGCCGACGCCTTTGACACGATAGCAGACGCTGCGCAAACCCAGAAGAGCGCAGTCCTCCCCAGCATAGAATTCGAAGAAGGCGAACTCGAAGACGAAGAGCAGGATGTGGACGGCTTCGTGCAGATCCATAGACCCACGGTCCTGCGCGTTGCAAAGGGCAAGGCCAGTGTCGACGCGGATGCACAGAGGGATATACAGAGCTCGCCCATGCGAGAGCGCAAGGCGCTGGAAGTCGAGTACGACGAACGATCGCGACGGGCGTGGAGTGGTGCGTTGATCAAGACTCGCAGCAGTGGCATTGGCATGACTGACGACTAACAGCGCCTAGTACCTCACAAACAACCAGCCTCTCCCCCCAGACCCTCGCAATTACGATCTGATCGCAGCATATCACAATCTACGCGCGCCGCCTCTACCACACAGGCCGTACAGGCTGCCGAAACCGACAACCGACCGCCCATCGAGCGTTTCCGAACGAAGCCCAAGAAGTGTCTTTCGGTGACTGATCTCGTCTCACCAGCATGGTGCGAACTGCAGTACTTTTACACGTTGAGCAAGTTTGGCCGCAAACCACGAACGCAGGCGATGAAGACCGGTAGCAAGATCCACCAAACGCTGGAAGACCAGGTACACACGACAGTGCCAGTGCAGGTTGAAAGCAAAGAAGACCGGTTTGGCCTACGTATGTGGAATGCTATATCCGGCCTGCGATGTCTCCGCGAGACTGGCCTCACACGGGAACTGGAAGTCTGGGGCGTCCTCGAAGGCCAAGTCATTAACGGTGTGATCGACGAAATCTCATACGAATGTCCCGACCCAGAATTCGAAGAGGAACTCGAGAGAACCCGTGCCGAGAAAAACGGCGGCATCGTCCCCCTACCACCAGGCCAACTCAGCATCACAGACGCCTTTGCAAAAGCCAGCAAACCGCCCTCTTCCAGCCCACTAGTCTCCACACCACCTTCCGACCGCCAAATCTACATCGCCGACGTAAAAACACGATCCGCAAAATCTCTTCCAACCGGCGCGTCTCTCCGCCCTACCTGGATGCAACTCATGCTCTACCGCAAACTCCTCGAATCCCTCTCCCTCAACACCGTCGACGCCGGAACCGTCTTCGCGCGCTACTCCCTCAACTCCCTCACCCCCTTCACCCCGCTCTTCCTCTCCGAAATCAGCAACATCGGCCCCGAAACCTCTGTCTCCTCGTACCCCAACCTGCTCGCCCTCTGGTCCCTACTCGTCACCGAAATGCAAGCCACATTCCCTCCTTCCAGCCTCTCCCCCATCCTCCGCGCGGAGTTTAGGTATGCGAAGACGGGGGATGTGTTGGGCAGCCGGCTTACGGTGTATGAAGCGAGTGTTGTTGATGGGTATGTGGAGAGCGAGATGGATTGGTGGAAGGGGAGGAGGGAGGCCAAGGGCGTGGAGATTGAAGAGGCGTTTAAGTGTCGGATTTGTGATTTTAGTGAGGAGTGTAGTTGGCGGAAGACGAAGGTTGAGGAGGCGGTGGAGAAGGGGAGGTTGAGGAGGGAGGCGGAGGCGAAGGAGAGGGGGAAGAGTGCTGTGTAGGGTGTGGGTGTTGAGACGATGTGATGTGTGGTTGTAGATATTGAGGGTTGAGCATTACCGCATTCAAGAAATAAACGGAATAGGTGCCTTGCAGGTTACATCATTATCATCATCAATCTGAATATTCATCAACACTTTCATGCAACGGAGGCTTTAAAGAAAGACTTACTTCCATTATCCTTTTCAATTGGTTGATATTTTCTTTTACCAGGTACTACGATCAATCTATCACATGTTGTATATAATTATATACTAACGCACTACTTCCTATATCTTACATTCTGAAATTCTCTCCTCTTGCTACATTAGTGTCGATGTAGATTTTGCTAGTCTCCTGAAGAAGGGATTGTCTCATTGCCTATGTGTTAGCAACATTATCTCACACAAGTATCCCTGATTAACATGTGTCTGGACGAACGCAACGATGCAGGTATACTGGCGTCGCCACCAATAACGTAGCTTCGACGCCGGCATTCGTCGAAGTAGTACAACCGTGACAATGAAACGCTGTCGTATGCTGCACTGTGTCCCCAGTCTTTCGCAGCGCCTAGCCCTGAAATCTACATGAGAACACCCACTCAGTTCATCTGCGCAGGAAGCGACACCACTCTCTTAGCCTCCGTAATCCCTTCCATATCCACCTTAACACCCAACTTCTCCGCCACAGTAACAAACCCTTTACTCCCCTCTTCCATCTCGATCCACACATCAACCCACCCCTCTCTCCTCGCCTCCCCAACCACCTCCTCACCCCAATCCTCCTCCTGCGCCCTCTCCACATACACAGTCCTCAACCCACACCCCTTCGCCGCCTTGAGATCATTCAAATGCGCAGCCACCATGGCACATTCCTCCGGCCTGAGCCCCAATTTCTCCGCCGCGCCCAGGTATACTTTCGGACTGGGTTTATACGTCCCGAACATCTCGGCGGAGAAGATGTGCGTGAATGGTATCTGGCTGTACGTGCGTAGATCGGAGAGCAGAGTCAAGTTCCCGTTCGATAGCATACATGTGTGAAAGCCGGCTTGGTTCAATAACGCCATACCCGCGACTGAATCATCCCAGGGGTCTAACTGATGCCATACTAGACTCAACGCGCGGATCTCTTCCTCGTCCCATAGACCCTCTAATTCCCACTCCGTAATCAGTTTCTTGAGTGCACTTAGATGGTGGTCGTCGACAGAGACCCATGGTATGGACGGGTCAGATGCGAGTCGTTTTGTAAAAGCCTTGTAGCTGTTTCGCCATTGCTGTGCAAATTGGCCCCAGTGCTCGTCGCTCATTTCAGAGACTCGAAGGCGCAGGCGCGAGGCTAGTGATGCGGTCGCGGAGTTTAGGGCGGCGTGCGCGGATTGTGATAGCGCGGTTGTGACGGTGGAGCGCCAGTTTACGCAGGTGCCGAAGATGTCGAAGAGGAGGGCTTTGGGCGGTGGGGTGAGAGACATGGTGTGGGATTTGATTGGTGCTGAGGTGGTTGGTAGTAGTGGTGTGATGGGTTGGCGAGGTGGAAAGTTTATTTTGGCTGATGGTGTAGGTGGTGGTGGTGTTTATGTATGTACGTCACCGGGAAGATTCCCCGGAAATATATCCATTGTTTCCGGGATATGTGCGATGGGAAGGTGGGCTGGATCTCACGAGCGTTAAAGAACTTGAACAAGACATTGTATTCACATTAACGGTATTCGTATCACTCTGCTTTAACAATCATGAGGTGCGCACCATCCATGTGGCAGTCGCGTGGAG